TGTGATAGCTGCATCTGTTTTAGCATCTGAGATCGCTGTTCCATCATAAGTGTCTTCTCATATGTGAACGCAGAAATATCATTTTCAAACTGCAAAAGAGATTGGCATTAGAAACATCAGAAGAAAAGTACTACTCAAAAGAACAATGTTTAGACAGTGTACCACATTCATTCCTGCATTCATTCAGTCATGGATGTATTTATGGCATTAGAGTAATCCCAAGCATATAACTGATCAATCATTTCTGTCCTCATTCTTAAAACTTCATCTTCAAACAGCAATCTCATACAATGAACTATCCTACTATACCAATATCAACGTGATTTTTATCTAAATTTGAGGTACTTGGGACAGACCTTCCATTGTTCTGTTCCAACTAGGCTGCAGAAATGAGAAAGGGTTGAAAGCGCTTATTTAAACTGGGTCTGCATTGCTGCCTCCTGAGCATGTGTGCACACCTGTTTCCTTAAAAACTGTCTAGAGCCACAAAATAACACATTGTCCTTTCACCAGTGAGAAGTGTTCACAAATAGAAGCATTTGCAAAGAAACCACAGCATATATTCTCACATCAGCTCAAAGCTAAAATACAACGTAAAAATCTGTAGCAGCCATCGGTGTTGTCACTGACTCGTAACATGTCTCTTATCTTTTGGAAGATTCTCAAGGTTAAATATGATCCACATAAGAAAAGAATAAATTGCGTTTCCTATACTGTCTTCTGCTCAAAATCCAACCGAGGCTGAGCCTTTTTTTAATGGCACGCTGTTCATCTTCTTTTCCCCCCCCCTGCCACAGCATTTTAGTCTTTTATATTCAGTACTCTAAACAATAAATAAATAAATAAATAAAAGGATTTATCTTACTTCCTGGTTCAAATACTAACCAAATTTTTCATAAGTCATTTTTTTCTTAAGTAATTTAAACGATTCTTAAAATTTGCTTTATGGGCAATTAGCATGATAAGTCTTTTTGATAGGTTGTTTTTATTCATTCCAGAAACTGGTGGCAGTAGAAGTTTTGAAACAGTTGACCCATCTTCTTCATCCCACTTCAGAATGAGTTTAAAAGGTTGGGCTTGGGGGTTGTTTTGGGGGTTTTTTTGGTCTGTCTTTGGACATTATGCTAGTCACCTCTGAGTGCTGGAAATGAAGTTTTTCCTTAGTTGCCAAAAAAAGCGGGTCTAGACAGACTACAACTTTAGTTCTGCCTCTTTAGCAGTTTACGACCAGTATTTAAAAAGGGAAAAAAGTTACAAAATTAATTTTCTCACCATTTGACTTGTGACTCTGTAGCTATATTGTCATGGCATTCAGTGCCAAAGAAGCTGGCAATGCCAAAAACAGCTGACATGCTCTCATGGAGGCCTAGGGATTCCGTATTCCAGAGAGATATTCATACAGCAGTTGGAGAGACAGACATGTTCATCCTCTCTCATGCTGGATGCCATGGATTATTAGATTAAGCACATTCATCCTTCCATTTCACTGCCTGCTAAGAACTCAACCTTTTTCCTTCCTGAATGAACTATCTCTACGGACTAGTCCTCATAAATACAGTAGGCATTAAACACATCAAAATGGCTAACTCCACTTGACAAAACCATTAAACTCACTACCGCGTACACTAGCATTGTGACATGGTAAGATAACGTTGCTTTAAAAAACTTCTTGTTCTTGGTAGGACTGCAATCTTTCCCTGTTTATAGTTGGGCTAACATCTCTTAGTTTCAAAAATGCTAAATCCATTTTCCCAAGTTCAGTCTCAGTTACACCTAAAAAAAAAATGCAGTAACATACCATTTCAACAACTTCCACTTCAGCATTCAGTCTAAGATGATATAAGAACATCTGAAGATCCTTCTTCATTTGAATGCTATTATCATCCATTTGAGCGACAGTGAAGATACGCATTTTACATTTTCTCCAAACCTATCAAAAAGATACGTTATAACAATTCGTAACATAGTGATTGCTATCACCATGCATAACTCTATCAAGGTGAAAGAGTATTTCATTAGAAACCCTTAGAACTATTCATTGCTAGAAAATTAATATTCTAGCCATTTTCTATTGTCCTTGCCTTGTGCTGCCGAAGGAGAAAAGGCAGTAACATCAGCATACCACCGTCATGAACAATCCACCACACATCTATGTTTCCTTCAGTAAAACGTTCTTGATTTGTCGGAAATAAGTCAATGTTTTTAGCCACCAACAGTGCTTGCTGAGCTGCTGTTGTTTCTCGTACAGTGTCTGAAAGGGAAAGCAAGACATTTGATCGAGAACTTCTAGTCTTCATTCACAGCTTTTGTTTTTGTTTTAAAATCAAAAGCTTAAATCCTCCCAGATTCTGCTGAGGCAAAAGAGGAACATCCTGCATTTAATGACTAACCTGCTTTGGAGAAGAACAAGAAAAGCCATGGTTGAAGAGACCGAGGGCTGAGAAAACCCGCTCCACATGAAATCAGATGTGGGGAAATAGTCAATTGTCCACTGGATGTTCAGCATCACATTTCCTCATGTGATGACAAATACATGCATAGCTGTATTACAAATGCATAGGAGAATGTCAATAAGCACATACCGACAAAATTTTTCCATGAGAAACGATTTTCTGTCTGCTTCCATGACTGTGGCCATGCCATCAGGACTGTGTTGTGCTTCATCCCTCCTAGACCAGCTGACTGAATCAAATAGGATATTCCATCTCTGAAATTAGGAGACACCACAATCTGGCAAAATCCTTTAGTCTTTTCTACTCCCATTAAGGCCTTAACGTTCTGCAGAAGGAAGATTACACATGAGGAAATACAGTCATCAACACTGGTAATAAACACCATAAGGAGTAACAGCACTAAATAAGAGCAAAACATTAGCTATCATGTACAACCAACATCAAGAAACCGCTGATTCCAGAAGACTGAAAATGATTCTACGGCACCTAAAACCCAAAACAACCCACCTCCCCAAAAGACACCACACACAGGTTTTTCATTACTTCAATTATTCAGCCTTTTATTTTCAAAGAGGAATGAACAAGATGTGAGTAAAACCACACTGACAATGATAGATAAAGTAACATTGCTTCAGGTAAAGTCAAAACTGCTGGCTGACAAAGCACCGTATGTTTGGAATGACGAGTCCTTTCTTTTGGAATTGGAAGGGTTGAAAAAAACGTGATGCCAAGGACTTTAGAAGAAGAGGCCGTCAAAGCTCCTTAAACAACTTTGACTTTAAGAGGCTGATTCTTTATTGGCTCCCAACATTGAAAAATAGTGTGCAGGAGACAATTGGAGTCACTGGCTGAATAATGACAAGATAAACTGACTAGATTAGATCTCCCAACACCCCTTTAATTTCAACATGGCTCCCCTTCATTTAAACTCTGACAAACAGACACATAACCAAGTAGTTTAAAAGTAGCATTCAAAATGGTATCAAGGTTGACTAGGGAACATCAGCTTTGGCATTTACTCTGTTTTGATGGCACGACTTTAGAAATCCCATCATTATCAATGACTTGTGTGGGAGATCAGCATGATTTCACAGAAGGAAGAACCAGCACATCAAAATTTGGAATTTTGGAAGCACCAGCACTCCTATCAAAAACGATCAGGAACAGGTTTTATCACAAAATGCCTGGCACTGGCTCAGTGTGGCTTCACATCAGAAAGTCTGTTTAGTAGAGAAAAAAAAAAGTTTTCAGAGAAATTGGTAGCAAAGCTAAGAAGTCAGTCTGTGCAAACAATATCTGTAAGGGCATATCAGTTTAAACAGATGCTTTTCTCTTTTTAAAAGAAAGACAGGAGAAATCTTGATTTCCTACAAATCTTCTAGAAACATTTTCTAGTTGAAATTTTGCAAAACCAGTGAGGCCTCCAGGCGCTCCAACTTTTACAATTCATCTTCATTTCCATTTTGAAAGCAATAGTTTCCTCAATCTTAACACCAGCTCTGACTTTCTAGAGAACCCAGGCACTAGGTCTCCCTTAAATTCATTCCTGATCCATCTCTCAAAAATGTAGTTGACTTCAAGTCAAGCTAACTATAGGTAACATTTCAAATCCTCATGGGTAAACAGTTTCTGTTTAAAGGTTTCCTTTGTTTTATTTCAGGGGCCTGACTGTATTCTTGGTCTTGTTTTCTACTCACACGTGTTGATAATAACAGCTTAATAACAATTACTTTCACAATATATCATTGCTAGGCTTTTCCCACCACATTTTCAAGATAATTGCTCCTCTCGGAGCCTTTTCATGTGATATCAGCTAGGCCATCTGGCTTCACACTTTGTTATTTTAAAAACCGCTAGGGACAAGTCTGAATACCAAGAGGGAGGGAGAAAGAAAGCAAGCTGGGAGAAAAAGGGCAGTCAGCTTTGTTAAGTCCATTTCAACATCTCAAATGCTCATCTATTTGAGAGATACCAGGTCTGAATAAGTCACAGGCATTTTTACACAGCCTTGAAGATGACTTGGATCAGAACAGTAGACATTTTAACTGATACTCTTTTCAACAACACTGAAGATATTAACCAGTTCTGGAAGACATAATGGCAATCAAAGCCTACTTTTGGAGTAGACTTTATAGTAGTTTTCTAAAGGCAATAGATTTTCCAATAGCATTCAATAAAATACATGAAACATGGTATTTTCTAAAAAAGTTTCCCCGCTCTATAAAGTTAGGAGTAGGAAAGTTTGTGTAGGTAGGCAAATATAATTATCTATACTGAGTTACCCCAATACTGGATTAAACAAAGAAGTACACAAGTTGATTAAGACTGAACAAAAAGGGAAACTTGCTTTGCATTGAAAGTCCAAGCCGTATGAACAATGGATCTTCAGAAGCTCAGTCAATACATTAACTTCCCTTTTTCCTTCAGGGTGTTACTGTAAATCGGCAGATGAAGA